ATATATATTTAATAAATACATGAAAATAAGAGCAATAAAAGATCTATAATGTTAAAAATTGAAAACTTGCGAGAAATAATTACTTTCATCAATCAGTATCAAAGAAAAAAACATCAGTTTTCTTAGCCAAAGAATCTACAAATTTATGATTTTGGACAAAAAGTAATCTGTAATTTTAAGTACTAGATGTCACATAAAATACACATCGAATACGACCATGAAATCAGTTCTTCTCGCCATCTTGGAAACGAAATTCATGAACTTCGTCAGGCACATGAAGCATTTTGACAGTTTTTTAACTATCATGTAGGCAAATAATCATTTTTAACAGTTTCTCAATGCAATCCCCTATATATATAGACCTATCGTCCCAATGGTATTTGCGATGGATGCTTTCTAATCTCAATATTATTAATCTCAATATTATACACAGCGATCTTTCTTATTTTCGTGAAATTTAACATGCGACTTCGTAAAAATCGACGGGAGATTCGAAAAGGCGGAAACATCGTATGAAATGACTCCCTTACTTTTTCAGCCTCATGCAAATTAAAGACTTCTCAAAAATTCCTTGATGATAATAATAGAAGTAGCAAACGTAATAGGTTTGTTTCTCTTTTTTATATATATAATTATATAATATACAACAAATTATATATATATATATATATATAAAAAATCGTTTTCTTTGTACAATATTTGTGAGCATATCTTAATTTCATTTCTTTAGCTGTAAACATATACATATGTCCAATTGAAAACTTTACAGTTTTAATAACAAATAAATTAATTTTACTTGCAATTTTAGGAGTAATGTTAATATATTATATGTTGCGATCATAACATAGGTAATTAATTTGAGATGTCATTTTAATTTTGTTTGTTTTAATGTTATTATTATTTCAATTTTATAATTTAAATTAATAAATTTTTATTTAGTTTGTATACATTTTAATTATTATCTATTCTATTATTAAAGAATGATTTTGCTAAAATATCTGAAATTTTTTTTTAATCGGAAACAAAGCTGAAAATAATTTTGTTATACCATCAAAATAATTATGGAAATAACAAAAAAATCTTTAAGCTGATTAAACGTCTGCATTATTTCACGCGTTCTACATAATTATTTTGTAGTTTTAATACAACAAAATTATTTTCAGATCTATATCTAACTAAATTTTTAAATACTTTTGTTAAATTATTCTTTCTGTGTGTGTTCGTTCATCGTTATGCTCGCGAACTTGAAGAACAATTACTTAGCAGCATCTAAATAAATTTGCATTAAAATTAAGCTAATCACTGTACATAACATTGGCAGATATACATACAATAATCGATTATCAGAAATTTGATAGTAAATTTATCAAAAAATAGAGCCATCAGGCACAATTATGTTTCGATCAATCCTCTCTCGGTAATATACTTACATTATAGCAAGATTATATACCACACGAAATAATTGTGTTAATACATCGCAAAATATTAATTAATTATAGAAACACTAGATAATAGAAACAAAGATAATACGAAATAATAACATACGTATACACACTATAAAGATCGAAAACGATTTGTATTTTCACTAGATAATATAAAAAATAATCCTTTTAGCCTTTTATCCTTTTATAGCTCTCAAATTTTTAATCAAATTTATGCTAAATGATGGGATATATGATAGGATATTAATCTCAGAAAAAATTTAATTGCAATTGCCTAAATAGGATCGTAATTAAAATTAAAATCAAGTTTAAGCATAAATAAAAATGCTAAAATAAGATAAAAGTGAGAATTTTAGCTTTGCTGAAGAAAACGAAGACTCGCAAGATTACTTTGATGCCATACATTTGCCTCAAAATGTACGAATTGTTTAATCGCACAATACAACGTGCATTGAAGCGCGACTAGTTTTATGCTAAGATTTTCACTTTTCCCATCGATCAGAGTTAATAAAAAAAGTGACAATACGACGCAATATTCAAGAAATTATACTCGCTCTATAAGGTAAGAGAGATGACTATACATTTATTATATTATATATATTTTTATTTATGTTTATATTTAAATATATATATTATACATATATTACATAAACCTATATAATTGTAAAAATCTAGCAATAAATTTGTATGTTACTTGCTTGACGACAAGCATAAGATTGTTGTTGTCATCATAAGTCTTCTTAATCCTACATTATTACATACATGGTCTTTTTAACGTAATTACTCGTGTCATATGTATGTGACAATCCAACATCACAA